TTCTTTTAAACTGTCCAATGTCTCGGCCATCCATAAGCGGGGGAGTGAAACCGATGGCCTTCAGGAACGCTGCGAGAGACTTGCCACAATGGAGATGGATGCCGACCCAGAGGAGCGTGTCTGGGAAACACCTCCAAAACCAGCGAGAACTCAGAGAGGTGCAAGGTGTAGCATAGTTAGCATATCCCGTCGTCATCGTGGCATCTGAGTCTTCATCTGCCTTCGCTCGAGGTGGGCAATTTCACCCTGCAACTTGAAGGCGCCCTGCCCGCGCTCCCGGTAGTACGCGGTCGACTATTCTACGCGAGGGCCGACCATGCATCACGTGTTGACCCCTCGAAAAGGTCAGACCCGGGTCAGACCCCAAGTCAGACCCCGGGGTCAAGCCGAGAGGGTCAAGGGGTCGAGTCTTGACCCGCACACCTCTGCACAGAGCACCACCCAACGCGAACGACAAAGCGCCCTTTTCGAGTAGCGGTGGGAGGGGAGCTCGGCTTCGCCTCGTCGAGAAAGTAAAGCCAGCCCAGCTTCGCGCTCCAGACCGTGTATTTGACTCTTGGCCTCAGGGCTCAACTCGCTGACAACACTTAGTTTGCCAGTATTCTCGGAATGCGGGATACGGATACAGTATACAGACTGTTCTATACTTCTGTTAACTTGTACGCCTGTTCTTGTCATCTCCGGGCCCCGTTAATCACCAAGAAAGACTATCCACGACAAACAGCCCAATTTTATACTAGCGGCCTGAACCTCAACTCTAAGTACCTCAGCGGAACGTAGAACAGCCCCGCAGACGCGAAGGCGAGCTCAAATCCAATGTCGCCCGTCCGTTGCGCGATCGGCCCGACGAACCACACCTGGTCCATCGACGGGATGATGAGCGCGCACGAGAGCAGGCACGCGCCTAGCGCAGCGAGCCCCGTCGGCAGCCGGCGCCAGTCGTTCCAGTAGTGGAGGTCGTACGAGGCGAAGTCGCCCCGCCGGATGAGGAGGTGCTCGACGAGGACGACGGCGCCGAACGCGCTCGCCCAATAGCCGATGAGCCCGAGGAAGTTGGTGAGCGTGTCGTAGAACTTGTGCGCGCCGACTATCGAGATGGGGATAAGGCTGAGTTTTGAAGCGTCAGATCAGAAGCGTCAGCGTGCGAATCATGGGGCGTGCCAGAGATAAGGACGTACATGGCCGTGGCAAGGATGGAGAACATGTATCGGGGAATGACAGCGAGCGGGGGGATGAAGACCTGGAAGCTCAGGCTGAAAGAGTAGAACGTCGGCGCGATGTTTGCTGTAACACTCAGAGCCATGAGCACGGTAAGGAACTTTCCGAAGTTGCCCGTCGGTTGGAGCATGGCTTCGATAAGGCCGCCAACATTGCCGTTTGCGTAGCCCTCGTTCCAGGCGGGGACGGAGGGAGCAGATAGGACCACTGCTGCTCCGAGACATTGCAGGAGGATCTGTGGAGATATGTTGAGATGGGTTGGGCTGCAGGAGAATAGACGTGACATACGATAGGGATATTGAATCCGAGATAAGAATACAAGAATATTGTCCAACTGTCGCGCATCAGGTCAGCTCCACTTCTGAAGGAATGGCGGGTGCGGCGCGTACCTGGGCACAGAAGGCGTATAATATATAGTGAAGTCGGAGCCAAGAGAGGCATACGTGATCACGAAACCAGCAATCGTCCCGGCAAATGAAAGAATGGCCTGAGCGGTTGCAGGCTCAGCAGGAGGCGGATTGCGGATGTGCTTGCCGCCGACGCCGAGAGCGACAAGGTATACGACCAGGACTGGCACCCATGCAAGCCGTTCGTACCAGTTGAGGACTCGATAGCCGCAGAAAGAAACCTGTCCGACACGTTCAACTGACGACACGATCTCATATAGAGTATGGTCTTACCAATAAAGATATGACAGCAACGACGACAATTCCGACGCTTCAGGATGAATTAGTCCGGACCCTCTCGGGATTGACATATTAGGGTGCGCACCTCCAGCTTAGGCGACCATCGGTGATGCTGGCTAATGTCTGGCCGCCGAGGATACAGTTAAGGATACAGAAGCCCATCATAGAACAACAGTTGAATACACTCGGGACGATGACACCGAAGTACCTGCAGGCTTGGCGTCAATGAATGCCTCGTCGTAGGAAGCAAGGAGGCGTACCCAAAGCTGTAACGAGCTTGACACATCTGGCGTAATCCCAGTTTTGGACCCCATGTTGATCTGACAGAACGATTAAGTCGTTGATCTGACATTGACGATACCAACTCACAGATAGGCTGGGAGAGCGCTGCACAAGAGATTGAAAAACAGTATCACTAGACACGAGTCTCGGAGACCCAGACCGAAGATTACAGGCCCCAGGGTGCCTGCTGAAAACCTACAACAACGATGTCAGCCCCTCGTTGAGAAGTGCGAGGCGGAGGGACGCACGATAAGATATTGAAGTTGGCAGACAACCAGATGAAGAAAATTTTGCTATACTGGGTGTCTATACGTTCACGCTCGGCTACCGGGGTGATACCTTTGGGACGACATTAGTATATACGAGCTAAAGAGGCGTATATTCAATGACGTACCTCTTGTTTCCAGTCCCCATTGCAAAGCCCTCCGCGTCCACCGGTGCGAATAGTGCCAATCACGTTGTGCGTAGGTGTAGTCGTGTACTGAAGAACTATCCTTCTCTACGTCCGCGACCGGAAACTTATGATCGTCGGCCATCCGGTAAATCGGACTGTGGCAAAGTTGTCCGGATGGGAGGATGAGCGACTTGAGTCAGGGAAGCTGAGGAGTACATATCAGACGCGGACGAATGGATAAACTCAGCCGGGGCTCCGCGGCGGAACGCAATCTCGAAAGGGCACGCACCTGTCTAATGTGAGACCTGAGCTCAAACGCCCTACTCCGCGGTCAGTACGGGAAGAAAGAGTGCATCGAGTCATGGTGAACAGGGAGGCAAAAAGTAGGATGAGGGAGACGAGCGGGAGAAGAGTTGTTGCGGGATATGGCATCAATCGACACTGGGACTGCATCTCCCGCACTGGCAGATCCTGATCGGGAAGCGCTAATCTCAAAGTAGCGGTACGTACTTACAACCTAACAGGTTGGTAGAACGAGCAGGCTTCGACACATAACATAGCGTACATGGCACAAATGTGTACGACATGGTCTGATGAGGCTGGTGGAAGAAGGCAGGGATGTAGCAGCAATACTCGCCAGCTAAGTACATAACTCGCTATAATGACCGAGAATGGCAGGTGTGTCCCACGGGTGCAAGTACGCGCGCCTGGCTCGGACGAGCGTCGACCACTCAACGTCCCGCTCACTAGCAGCGTTGGCGACCTCACTATCCTTGCTAAACGTTATAACGATGACGGTCGTCATCCAACGTCCGCTCAAAGGCTCTCGTATCTCTTCCTTTTATCCAGTCAAGTCATTACCTCCCCTCTCTGCCCTCGACAGCGCCTTCCAGCTGCAGGAGTACATCTCCCTCCTCATTCGCCTTGATGTGCATGACGTAGACCGGATCGTCTCTATACCGGGGAGAAGCGCAAACGACAGCCAAGACGGGGGAGATGGAAAGGAGGAAAAGGACGGCGAGAGGGATGGTAGCGCGGGCGTGAACGTTGACGAGGCATGTTGGGTGTATGAACAACTCCGGTAAGTATCCTGATACTTCGCGTATGCGACCACTTACTAACGCGAGAATCGTCAGACGACTGGCCCAAGACCTCTCTCACCCTCTCATAACCATGCTTCAGCAAGAATGCACGCGAAGTACCTGCCCCGAGATGAAAGCTGGGGAGTGGTTGTACTTGTGTGTTGCCCACGGGAACGAGGGCGCCATGGAGGTACGCAGATGGCTTCTGCATCACAGACGTTTTATTGATATACTCAGCACGGCCTGTAGCAATGTTGTGCCATAGACTACATCCTGCACACCCTAGACAGCGCAACCGCGCTCCTCAACTCCCCCCGCGCCTTCCCCTCTCGGTACGTCTCCCCATCCATCCCCATGCGCCATCCTAACCACAGCGCCCTCCCAGCCTCTCCGTCCCCCCCTCGTCTCACCGTCACTTCTCCTCCCTCGCCCGCCGCCTCGGCCGCATCTTCGCCCATGCCTACTTCCACCATCGCGAAGCGTTCGAGCAGGCCGAGGCCGAGTCCTCCCTCTACGCCCGCTTCCTCGCGCTCACCTCCAAGTTCGACCTCGTCCCCGCCGAGTTCCTCGTCATCCCGCCCCGCCTCTCCGCCATGGGCGACGACGGCCGCCCCGACCACGTCGAGCCCCCGCGCCTCCTCGGCGCCTCCCTCGACCCCCGCCGCGACCTCTCCGCCGGGGCGCACGGGGACCCCAACGAGTGGTCGCTGTCGGACAGGCACGTGGGCAGGGAGAGGCTGGACGACCGGTCGTCGCCTGCCCCCCCCAGCGCGCGGCGGAACGAGAGCCCGCGCAAGTTCGGGCGGAACAGGACGGACACGATGGTGTACAGCGAGGCGTTCAGCGTCGCGGAGGAGCTCGCGAAGGGAGACCTGTCCGAGGTCGACATCGACAGGGAGATAGAGGCCGAGCGGGCGGCGGCCGCGGTCGGGGCTGATATCCCGACGTCCGCCGCTGCTGACGTTGCGACGACGGCCTCGCCCGTGGATGAGAGCTCTCCACATGGGCCGGAGGAACAGGAGGAGGAACGCGAGGAAGAGGCTAGCCAGGCGGACGTCGAGGCGCCTGTAGAGAAGGCGGAGCCTGAGCACCAAAACGAGGCCGCAGAGGAGCCGTCTTCGCAAACGGAGGAGCCGGGCGCCCCTCAAACCGCTGATCCGGCGCAGGCTCAGTCTGCTCTTGGAGAGGAGGAAGCCACCGAGGAAACTCATGCACAAGAGAGTGCCTCGGGGGAGGCGCACGAGGAGCCTCAGCCTCAAACGGAGGAATCTGCTAGCGCACCAGCCGCCGAGGCAACGGCTGCCGAAGCAGAGCCCACTGGAGCAACTTCCGCAGAGCATGAGGAGGAGGAAGAGGAGGAGGAAGAGGCTGAAGAGGAAGATAGTGGCGAAGAAGAGGAAGAGTCTTCGGACGAGGAGTCTGACGTATCGTCCACGGTTGTGGGCGTCGTCAATGAAAAGCCTGCCTCTGCTCCCGAGGCTGAGACCGCGCAAAAGGAGGAAGGAAAGGAGGGTGAGGAGACCAAGACGGAGAAGGCGTCTCCAGCGGAGGGCGAAAGGACGGAGGAACCATAATGACCCCATAGCGCGATGACTAGGGATTGCCACGACGCGCTGTACGATTTGCGCTGGCCGCGGAGGCTACAAGCTTCATAGTTGCACGCGTTTACATTGATACCCCCTTCACAATTTGTTGAATTACGTGACTTTAGGTCACGATGAACGACGTCTTTCAGCTTGAGATCCTCATTGTTGGTGGAAGTACCGAGTAGCACACCCTGGACGATCAATCTGCGGGCGATTTCGCATCCTGACGCACAACTTGAGTGACACGATAGAGATCAGAGCGATGGCAACATGAACGATGTGAGAGCTATGTACAGGGACTATAACAGACAGCAAAAGCGAAGAAAGCAATACAACAACGATGTAGAGGAGACTCCAAGAAGCACCGAAATACACGAGGATAGATGTTCACAACAAATGGCAGACGAGAAATCTAATTAGACCTGAGAATATTTCCGTATATAAGCGGGGCTAATCGCCATCCATGAGTAGAATTCCGCTGCGATGGTCTTCGGGTATCCCAACGCCTCCGCCTTGATCTCACAGAGCGCCCGCGTTCCGACGTTCCACGGAAAGCGACTCCATTTCCCACGCGAGTGCTCGTAGTCGTAGATATATGCGTACGAGGACTTGACCCGGCGCGCCGACGCTGCGTCGAAGAAAAGTAGCTTGGGCGGCCTCGAATGGAACTCTCGAGACAGTTTGCGTAGGGCATCCTGTCGCTTCTCGATGGGGAGCTCGGTAAAATGTCCGGTTTTCTGCTCTCTAGCCGCGGCGTGAAGCATCTCCTTGCCCCTGGTGTACATGGCCTTCACGTGCGCCTTGATCGCATCCAGCTCCTCTCTCATGAGGTTGCAGCCTCTGGCGGCGAGCTCCTCTGCACGGGAACAGGCTTCTTCCCATGGACGGGCGAGGGCGTCATCCCTGGGAGGGATGAAGTCCGGGGGAAGCCGTTTCTCAATGATTCGGCGTTGTGTGGTACAAGCAAGGTCCACACAAGCGCGGAGGCGGTCCATGATAAATCTGGGCAGCGTATCTGGTCGTTGCACTTGCCGCCGGAAAGTTCGTGCCAGTTCCTCGCGCTCGCGATCCTCCTCCGATTCTTTCCATGCAGGGGGGCGAGCCTGCCAGACTTGGTTTCGACAATGTTCCTTATACTTCGCTGGTACCACTGTTACGCCCGTCTTGGACCCGTCGAGAATCGCACAGAACCTATAGCTTGTTAGTATATTGCGGAGTACCCAGGGTAGCTTTAGCGATGGGCTTACATGTATGCGAGGAAGATAGTGTCAGAATGATTATACCCATTCGCATACGTGCTATTCTCCCACCACGTCGAATACTGGCCCACGAGCGATTTATCCTGGAGTGCTCCTAGTAGATACTTCTGTAGGGAGTAAATCTTGAACTCTTCCGACGCCGTAGACGGGATTTGTGACAGGTATTCTGTGACCATAGCCGTGTTCTTCTGGAGGCAGGCTCTCACCATCGGCGGCTCGACAGCGAAAACACGCGGATCAGGAATATGAAACGCGTTGACTATATCTGGATCCCAGAAGACTTCCATGGTATCCCCGTCGTAGTCCCCTACAACATAACGGTCAGGGAATGTCAAGCACACTATCATAGTAAGACCAACCTCCTCCCGTCAAACTAGCGAGATGGCGATTGAGAGGCTCTCCCCGGAACGTCTGGCTCTCTGTCGATACAACGATGACATCGCAGTAGTGTCGCAGCCGTTCGTGGAACACAGCTTTGACCTAGGTACGTAGTTAGATGGTACTTTCTCAAAAAGTCCGGCATGCGACCATACGTACCTTCTGGACGTCACTGGGAACCTTACAGGGGTGTCGTGTGACCTTCAACAAGCAGGGCATTAGCTGTCGTTCGCGAGAAGCCAGCTGTGGCACTGAGGCGTACTAAAACGTCCCCCAAGACAAGGTCGGTGAGCCTGCCCTGATGATCGGGCAAATTACGTCTTGAGCTGCGAACGTGGACTTCGTTTGCCTTCAAGACACCATAAGGGTCTAAAAAGGAGGTGCGACCATTAGAGACCCCTTCCATTAGACTACTTCGTGGATGAGGACTACTACCTGGGACGATGAATGCCGAACAGGACATCGGGACCGCGAAACGGTACTTCGTCTGGAACGTCTTCACCACCTTCTTCGCCACCTCCCTCAGCTTCGCACCCAAAACCGCACAATCATCCGGCCTGAATCCGGAGTCGATGAGCGTCATGCACGTCTCCTCTAGGCTTGACGGTGACCCGCTTATGGGGTCCTCCCACCATGCGCTGCTTTGCTGGCGCAAAGCGGTGTCGAGCTGCGAGAGCCCGTCCTCGTCATCGAATTCGTCCTCCTGGTCGTCTGCGACATATCCGGAGATGCGCGCCCTACCCGAATCGACGCGCGCCAAGCGCGCAGCGACGACCCCGCCCTCACGCGCGAGTGCATCCCACAAAAGCTTCATCGCAGAGGCGTCAGGCTGGGGCGTATCCGCGCTCCCGTTGGTGTCAGCTGGCTCCCACTTCAGCAACGCATTCACGCGGTCCTCGAGGTTGATCTGGAAAAGTTTGCTGAAGCATTCGTACGGCACGTCGTTCTCCGCGAAATTCGTAATCGTCTCGGTCGACAGACGCGCGGGACACTTCATACGCGATGCGCGAAGAACGTCAAGCGTAAGCTTCGCCGGGTCTGTGTCGGAGGGGAGTATGCACTGTTCCAACGGGAGCGAGGAGTATCTGATCTTCGTCTGGGATGGGCGCAGCCAGATCGTTGGTTCGATCTCCTCCTCGGGAGACAAGTCGTGTCGCACGAGTAGCAGGCCCTTCGCACCTCCGATGCGGCACTGAATGGCCGTCGGCTCGTCTTGCCAAGCAGGGAATTTGTCGTGCAACATGCGCATGACAGCACGATTCGCGAAGCCGCAGCCGTCTGTCATTTGCATCTCACTTGGGGGCTTGCCCTTGCCTTCGAATGCGTCGCAAACTGCAGGGCCCGCGATGAGTGGTAAGTTTTGAGGTATTCAATGTCTGAGGTCTCAAAGCGCACTGAGGTACGTACTGATATCATCTACGAACTTCACGTTGTCATGTTTGAGACGGAGACCCGGCATGGAATTCGACAAGGGCAGTGCGAAGCGCGCCGCCCATTTGGCCATTGTCTGTATCTGATTCAGCTTACTGAGTAGAGGAAACGGACAATAGACGTACCTGATCGGAATTTAGCAACAGAGAGTTATGCCACTCGATGAACTGCATGAAGGACATCTCCGTCGCCGCACTCGAGTCAGGCGTCGATATCCGTACATCCTCTCCCGACCCGATGGCAGCCTCGTTCGTCCGCACCAAGAACACGTTTTGTTCCTTCGCAAAGAATGCGCGGAACACCGCGCCACCGATAACGAAAGGCCGTCGGAAGTACTCCGCGAGATCGTTCCCCTTCTGATTCAGCGCATCCTTCTGAATGCGCGCACGGATAAACCGCCGTGACCCAAAGCGCCGCATGAGCCTGTTCGAGGACCCTAGAGCGGGGCGCTCGAGGATGAATCGGAACTCGCTGGGGCGGCGGTCTTTTGCGACGACGACTTTAGCGGTGAAGTGCACTTTGCCACCGTACCAGTCGGGGTCGGACTCGTTGTAGGCTTCGTGCTCGTTGCATCCGAGCCCTCCGTACTGATGGTTGGGAAGGATCTCGTCTTCTCTATCGAGCTCGTCCCACGGAAGCTGTAAAGACGAAGGAGGTCAGCATTGATCTCACACTTCCTCGTCAAGGATGCACGCACCCTGGCGGACTGCTCACGGGAGTAGGCGTCCGCAAACTCATCCGAAGCGTCGTCACCATCCTCGTCGTGCGGGACGTCGTGCACATCTCCTTCGGCCGCACTGGCTTTCCTTTCCTGCCTGACGTACTTCGTCACCTCAGGAGCGGCGAGGGAATTCTTGCCCATGTTCTTGAGCTCTTTCAGCTTCGAGATGGTGAACCTGCTATAGTCGAAACCAGTGTTCACGTAGCGGGCGATCTCCCATTGGACGCCCCAAGGAAGCGGAGAGAGGAAGCCCACCAAGCGTTGCGGATGGGCAACTACCACCGGCTTGGGTGCTTGGAAGTCTGTGGCCTGTACGTCGGAAGCTTGTGGGACCAGTGTCGCCACAGGAGGGGCGGCGTCTTCCGGCGACATAGACGAAGCAGAAGGCCGAGCAAGCCCGAGGGAGGCACCCAAATCGGACGTGACTGTCACTTCGGAAGATGATGTAAACCCAGTAGGGGCAGTAGGTTTGGAGGAGGGAACCCGTGTCGTCAGAGTGGCGGACCCAGAATTGCCACGAGACGAAGGCGTTCCAGCAGGATAGCTTCGGCTGCGCGGCGAGTCCACAAGTATGGCCTTGGTGCGCGAGAGAGGGTTGCTAGCACCATTCGAAGATGTCTTTTGAGAGCCTGCGTTGGACGAGACTGCCGTCGAGTCGGTGTCAGTGCGCCTGACACTGGCGCCTACATCTACACCATCAACAACCGTGGCTGAAGAGTTTCGACCATGTACACGAGGTCCCGAACCTTGCGTAGCATTGGAGCTTTTCCTAGGCCGTTCTGAAGTGTCCGCGTCGTCGTCTCCTGAGCGCTTCCGCTTACTACCCACTTGAACTTGCTCCACAGCTTGGGTTCCAAGCAGTGTATCTGCGTAGCTGGTGTCCATTGTGACGTCGCCGAAGTCATTGTCACCATCATCTGTGAGGTTTCAGTACAAATTCATGAGCAAAGGCACCGCTCTTACCGCCTGGATATTGGGCTATGAGGGAAGATATGTCGTTCTCGCCGAAGTAGTCCGTGTAGTGTGTACTCTACGGTTAACAGCGTGTTAGCTCCTGTGTATATATGAAAATGACTGAACGACACATGAGACAAAACATTGCGTTATATGAATTTATGCGGATTACTACACCACTACAGCTATCCACAGCAGGGTATAGGTGATCGCGTTACATACATCTCCTATGTGCCATATCTCTGGCATATCCACCATCACTTGAAACGAATTGAGGTTACGTAGACTCTGATCACGTCAGCGACACGCCCACTGTGCATATGGGGCGTTTGCATAAACTCGAACTTTACACGTGGAGGCAAATACATTTCCCAACGCCCAAACGACCTCCAACTGAAAACTCGAGAAGCCCATTCTAGCGAGCATTTCTGTTGCAGGCAATCGCGAGCAAAACGTGGCATGTTGACCCTCGCATACCCGTGGAATGCAATTGCGTTGGACAGGAATACCAACGAATCTGTGTAGCAGCCCAGACCGAGTAGGTCCTCTAGCGCAGTAGCGAGCACCGCACCTATTGCGTTGAACACCAAACCGCTTCAAAGGGTATGACACATAGACAAGACGCGCAAGACAGGGAGATAGAGAAGGCTAGCACGGTGCGCGCACGAAATGTATTCTAGTATGCACCAAGCTTCTCGAGTGCGCAGTTGATACGAGGATAGTATGGACGCGTGTAGTTCCCACCACCACCACAGATCTTCCACGCTCAACCTCGACAGACACCGCCACAGAGCAAAGTCTAATAAGCAACATGAGCGTACCTGTGAGGAGAGCGAGAGCGACGACGCGCTGCGGGAAGGAACCAAGCTGTCTTCAGCGGTCATTATGGCGTCGCCTGCCAGCTAAGCGCGTCGCGGTCGCGTTCGACACGTTGAGAAGGCGAGCTGGGCGCGCAAGAATCAGATGAGTCCAAAACCAAGACGAGGGAATAAATGTGAGGGTATATGCAGGTCGTAAATGGGGGATAAAGGGCAAGAAAAAGGCGAGGGCAGGGGGCGAGAGAGGGACTACACGCGCGATCCTCAGGCGTTTCTCTAGCGCCGGCCACAGATCGACGATCACATATTCGCGTGTTCTGTGGCGGCGAATATGAGCGTCTATCATCTCTTCTCACTTTGCTTCCGTCTTCTTGTTCGCCGCGAAGGTCTCCGCCTTCCTATCGCCCTACGGACATATGAAGCAGCATGGGAATCATACCTCACTCACTCACCACGCTTGCCAAAGGCCTCAGCTTCGAATCCCGCACCATTGGCATCCTTCGAGAGCATCTTTCCATCTCTTGCCGCCATGTTGGAGGTCGTGGTGATGGCGGCATCGACCTCTTGGGCTGGTGGTGGCTACCACACGAATGTCTGAGCCATGCAGCGTACCAGGACTCATCAAACCCTGTGGAGAACAGGCCAGCCCGCACGCCGCTCCGCATCTTCGCCCAGTGCAAGGCCGAAGAGAAGAAAATTGGACCACGCTACGTACGCGAGTTCGAAGGCACTATCTTACGCAACTGCCTATCACAGACAGCGGGCGAATCAGGTGGATCCGTCACAGGTCTCTCCAGGAATGCCGCCGTGGGCGTATTCGCCTCCACTTCGCCGTTCACGAAGGCATCTCTTCTTCAAGCGTACTCGTCGCCTTTACCTCTTGTTCTCTTGTATCTTCCTAATGCCCCCGTGTCTGTATCAAACGTGGAGTCCGGAAGCAGTCCTCTGGGCGCTCTTGTCTTCAATCCAGCTTTGAACGGAGCGAGCGGCTTGCTCCGGGACACCGTAGAGGCCCGATGGGAGCGTCTTCGGGAGTCCGAGGAGGGACGACCAAGGTTGTGGTACAACGGCCGGCCTCTAGAAAGTTGGACGCCGGATGAAAACTTCGAAGGCATACCAGAAAGGCTTGATTAGTCTACGAAGCAATCTTGGTACGATTCGTTCATCTCAAACTCTTTTCGACCCATTCTGAATACACGTCTTTGACAGTGTACATCGCGGCCTGATGTCAACACGGGATGCTATCCCTTTCTGCTATATCACTTATTTCGCTGATGTAAATGGTTGTGAACATCGAATTATCCGCCCACACCGTATCGCGTTCACTGCCTAACCGCCTCAGGTCGAGCAGTACGTGGGAACCCTAGCGGTAATCACTGACCAGTAAGACAATCTGCCTAATCTATGAAGTTATGCACTCACCACGTATGACAGAGCCGACAATGTCCAACTTGTCATCAATCCTCAGTGTCGGAGTTAGCGGTGTTGCACGAAGCAGAACGTACAAATATGCAGCTCCGGAAAGCGCATTCCTCGCCGCGGACGTGTAGACCAAGGTGTTCAACACCATAACCGCTGCGAATATTGTCAGTACTTCTGTGACATGAGCCTTATCTGAAGCTCACCAATTCCGACCAAGAACGCCCAGGTTCCGTCCCGCACGATTGTATCCAGTATCGGTCTCCGGCCAAGTCCCTCTCCGCGGCTTTGTTTGAACTTCGCGATAGTCATCGCAAAGAGCACTGCTTCGAATACTGTCGGCGACAGCCTTCACGAGATCATGTCAATACATATATCGCCACAACGGACTTGTTGCCATACCATACCACCAGCATAACCTTGGGACTCGCCGTCACAAGACAGTGTCCGTCGTATTCAAACCGTCCGGATGCCATGTTCATGCTGAATGCCATCGCTCCTACGCTTGCTGCCAGCAAGCGAGGAGCACGACCAGAACAACTTTTCGCCTGTTATACAGGATATATACTATTTCCGTCTTCATCAGCGCCAAGTCTCTTTGGACCGGGCGCGAGGATGTCGATTCACAACGGGCAAGATACGCACCTCGTACTAGCAGGATTACCTGGACGCTCAGTAAGACGAGCTCGAGTAGGACGCCTTCGACAGTGACCTCGATGTCGCAGATCCTCCAGGGCCGGTGCGTCTGCAGACCAGTCTGAGCGAACAATCCGGTCAACGTGCTGTGCCGGCCAGTTGGTGAGCTGTGTGCCATTGTCGATACGATCCTAGGGGAAAGATGTGCTTACGCTTCAACAGCTAGGGGAAAGTATCGGATGAATATGTATAGCCATCTGAACCATCCGTTTGGCTTCCTGATTGTATGGCAAGTCTCTGCTTCGTTTGGACAGGCTAGCAACGGTTGTTGACTTACTCCCAAAGCAACTGTACCTGGTTATCTCTCCTCAACAAATATCCTGTAAATCCATATCGCACTTGCCAGTACTCACTTCGTCCGCGAGAGAAGTGATGATGTCCCACGACAAACACGTGAGAGCCGCAACTGCTAATCTGGCGGTCAGTCTCAATGAATGCTGGTGTCGTCACGTCACTGACAGCATGTGTACCCGGTCGTTCCTGTCGCGATACTTTCCTCGGTTCCGGTGAACATTCCAGTGTGAGATGAGCTTCAAGTGTAGGGCTTGAACGAGAAACGAAAGCTGAGAGGGCGTTGACTGGCTACTGGCGTTCATATATGTGCTGCTCTGAGGACCTGCGGAGAAGCCTGCGAGCTGTCCCTATCTATCACTTCTTCGATCGAGTGCAACACCCGGCGAACAGATGCTCTAGAATTGCCACTGATATTTTCACAATCTTCTCCAAAACAGTACCTCGTGCATAGCAAGCCGGGTCCCACCAATCCGCTGGGATCTGCAGTCGTGGCGGTGTCGAATTGTCCAAAGCATAACCCTCTCGACCGGCAATGTCGCGGGCAGTCGACTAGTCTCGACCAAGACCGTCCGCGTGTCAGCGTGGACGGTCTTGTATCAAAGTCCGGATATTCAAAAGGGTCTGGACGACGGCCCGTTACTGATGATGGATAACAATCCGATAAGAAATCAGTTAAGCGGGGAATCAAAGTAACATAAGACATTTTGTAAACAGTCAGCCGCGCAGTGTTGTACGGAGAGCCTTGCTCCTCTCCGCCGTCTACGATGTCCGAGCTCCATTCGGAGCATGCCTCCGTGCCGAGCTACGGGAGGGGTCGCGTCAACGAGAGCAGGGGTATGATAGTCCAGTGGAGAAGGAGATGGTGGCGTAGATGGACGGGGGGAATCGTGAGTAGTTTTGCGCCGCCGCCGCCGCGTTGTCAATAGGACGTTCAGCGGCGCACCGGACTGCTCGAACATGCACAATTGAGACTAGGCGTACCGTAGACAGCAGCCCAACCAGTGGACTTGAGCACCCGTTCGGCTCGCGATCCATAATGCACCACGTTTGTTACTGGACATAAACATTCACATTTACTCTGGTTCTTATCTGATTACAAATTGATTCTAATGATCGATCATCCTCCAGACCCTTTGATCAAGTCGGACTTTGATACAAACCCCTCTCGCGTTCCCGTGCGAGGGGTTTGCGCCGAACCTAGGTGACGAGCTTGAATCGGTGCAGATCAGACTTCTTCGCCGAGGGGATCCAGACGCGGCTGACCGGACGCCATCGATACCGCGGCTTGAGGATTGAACCTGAACGGATATGCCGTTCGAGGCTGAAGATCTTTGCCTTCCTCGTCAATCCGCTCCCCACGCAAGTCCCAGGTATGCGTGAGATGGCGTAGCGAATAATGTGATGGCCTGCCACTTCAATGAATCTCCCAGTTGTGGTGTAGAGTAGCCTCATCGTGATCGCCCTATCAAGTGACATTCAGATCGACATGATGTTGTAAACGGCTGTGCAACAAGGGGTGCTCAATTCTTGTCGGTCGCTCAGATGCTCGCGCGCCTATTGGGCGCCTGCCTAGCTGCATTCAAGGTCAGCTCAAGCGTCTGCAGCACAGCGAGCAGAGACACGCAGGCAGCAGGTGCAACACGACCGCATGATGCCCCCGAGCTGGGACTAGAGAGCGACGCGAGGATTTGACAATTCAGAAGCTATAAAGTTGCTTGTCTCGAGATATGGAGTCGCCTCACAAGGTTTGAGTCCAGTTGCCATCGAGCCCAGAGCGGCACCCTCAGCTGAACCATATATATGTCGTGCTGATTCTGTTTCCGACTTGGGCGCATTGTGTACAATAAGTCCAGGTCAACGAGTTTATAAGCTCTCCCGACGTCACCATTCACTTGCTGGGCTGACTTTCCCGGGCCTAACAAACCTAGTATGAGACGATCTTGTCGATCTC